GACCCGAACAACCTCAGCCCCTCTCCCTGCTCCCATTTAATCAAAAACTCCCGACCCCTTTGCTACACCCGCCTATGCTCTCACCTAACGACAAAAAACTCTCGTCCCTACAGTCGGTTCCCCCCCTCCCCCCCCGAAACTGCCTTATCAAATTTCCCCAACGCCCGCTAACCGCCAAAGCTGATGGCCACTTTTCACTCTATTTTCCTTGACCTCTTGCGGCCTTGAAAACAGTCCACACCTCCTCCTCCTCAAAAAACTAACCCTCGGCCTCGAGATTCTGTCTTCTGGCTCTCATCCTCCCTTCAAACCTCCCTCGGTTTTCTATAATGCTACCACCCCCCCCTCCCCCCCCCCCTTTCCTGTTGGGGTCCCTCAAGGCTCTGCCCTCGGGCCCCTTCTTTTCCATCTATCCTCCTCCTTGGGCCCAACTCTTAAAATCTCACGGCTTCAACTACCACTTCTATGCCAACGACACACAAATTATCTCTAAACCCCCCCCACCTCCCCCCCTTGGTCTCACCCCAAATCACCACCTATTGAGTGACTATCAGATGGTGTCGCTCCACTTCCTTAAATTGAACCTCTCCAAAAACCGAGTTTCTTGTTTCCCCCATCCCGGTCCCCCCCCCATTGACTTCCCCGTACATAAACAACGCCCCATCAAACCCGCCCTGCAGGCCAGAGTACTGGGTGTCTTCTGGACTAACCCTATCCTTCCCACCCCCCAAAGTCCAATCTTTAAAAATGTGCAGACTCCACCTCCGCAACATCCCCAAAATCCGCACGTTCCTTCCCCAAAAACCCACTAAAAGTCATCCACTCCCTATCATATCACGACGACTATGCAAATCCCTCCTAATGGCCGGGCCTCCCCCGCTGGCATCCCCGCTTCAGTCATCCTGAATTTACGGCTCCCGACTCATTACCTTTCCAACCCGCTCTGTCTCCGCCCCCCCCTTGCCAATCCCCCATGGCTTCCGATTGCGCAACGGATAAATTAAAAAAATCCTAACGCTGATTTTCAAAGTGTCCCCCATATGCCCCGAACTACTCATGACCTAATATCCAAGTACCGCCGAAAGCACACTCCGCTCCTCACAAGACCTCTTCTCTCTAGTTCCTGGTCTCCCCTCCCATGCCCGCCTCCAGGACTTCCCCAGGGTGTCCCCCCACCCTTGGAACCCCCTGCCCCAACCCATCAGATTATCACCTTCTCCTCTCCTTTGGGCAACCTGAAAACCCATCTTTAGGGAAGCCTACCCCCCCCCCTGCTAATTACGCCCTCCTCCACTCTTCTACCACTCCACCCCCCAAGCTATCTTCCTGTGCCACCATCCCCCCTCCTAGTTGAAAAGCTCGAAAAAGGCAGGGCCCTCAAACCCCTATGTTTTTCATTGTATTGGGATTGTTTGTCACTGTTCTGTCCCCTTTGTAAGTACAGCCGAAGGAATATTGGCGCTTTTATAAATACTGTATAATATAAAATTAAAAAATAATAAAATGTTAGAGTCTAAAAATTAAAAAATGATACTAAACCCCAAAAACTGCATTCCTTTATCCGCTCTCCCCGGACCAGTTTTATATATCCGCTCTCCCAGACCCCGCATTATATATTGGTCTCCCCCGGGCCCCGCTTCACTATATTGCTTCCCAGGCCGCATTACTTATCCCCTTCCCCCGGGCCCCCATTCATATATCTGTCTCCCCGGACCCTGCATTCACTATATCCGCTCTCCCGGACCCCGCATTCACATGTTGTTCCCCTGGGGCCCTGATTTTTTCCACTTCCCGGACCTGATTCCTATATTGCTCTCCCCCGGGTCTGCATTACTGTTCTGCTCTCCCCGGCCCTGCTTTCATGTATCTGCTTCCCCAGACCTGCATTCACCCGTATCTGCTCCCCGGACCCCGCATTAACTATTTCGCTCTCCTGGACCCCCATTCACTATATCCCTCTCCCCGGACCCCCCCATTACTATATCCGCTCTCCTGGCCCCGCATTCACTTATCCGCTCTCCCGTACCCCGAAATTACTAATCCGCTCTCCCCCGGGGGGATCCTACATTCACTATATCCGTCTTCCCCGCGGACCCGCATTCACTATATCTGCTCTCCCCACCCCGCATTCACTAATCCTCACCCCCTCTCCCTGGAACCCCGCATTCACTAATATCTGCTCTCCGAGACCCTCATCACTAAAATCGCTCTCCGTACCCCGGCATCACTATATTCGCTCTCCCCGACCCTGCTTCCCTATATCCCTCTCCCTGGACCCCAAATTCACTGTATCAGCTCCTCCCCGACCCCGCTTCACTATATCCCGCTCTCTCTGGACCCTGCATTCACTGTATCTGCTCTCCCCAGACCCCGCATTCACTAATCTGCTGCTCCCTGTACCCAGCATCTCACTATACCGCTCATCCCCGGACCCCGCATTCCATTATATACGCTCTCCCGGACCCCGCATTCCACTATACTCCGCTTCTAACCCGGACCGGCCATTCACTTATCGCTCTCCCCGGACCCCGATTTCACTTATATCCGCTCTCCTCGGATCCCCCAGCATTTCACTATAACTCGCTCTCCCGGACCCCGCATTCACTATACCCGCATCTCTCCCTGGGACCCCGCATTCACAATATCCGCTGCTCCCCTGAACCCCCGCATTCACTATAACCCGCTTCCGGGGACCCCGCATTCACTATATCCCTCTCCCCGGACCCGCATTCACTATTAAAATCTGCTCTCCCCGACCCCGCATTCACTATATCTGCTCTCCGGACCCCCCATTCACTAATATCCCTCTCCCTGACCCCCGCATTCACTATATATGCCACTTCCCTGGAACCCCGCATTCACTATATCCCCCTCCCCTCCGGACCCTCATCCCCCCATATCCGACTCTCCCCGGTACCCCCCATTCATATAAATCCCTCTCCCTGGAACCCCAGCATTCCTAAATGCTCTCCCCTGAGGGACCCACCCTCATCACCCCGACCACCCCTGCACCCCCACAGTACAACAGTCCATTGACCCCCCATCCCCCTTAGATAATATAAACTGCTCACCCGACATTTTCCCACCAGCATCCATAGCCAGTCTTGTGGCTTTTAACAGTTGCCCCACCCCCCCTCAGAGCACGGGTCCCCACCCCTAGAGAGTCCTCCTCCTGAACTCCCAGGATCACCCCCACTCCCCCCCCTCTGGACCGCACTGAGACCTCTGTGCGATCACACCGCGCTCTCACCTAAGAAAAGAAAAACCCCCCTACCATAACACAACCCCCCCCACAATGCGTCCCACCTCCCCCCCACCTTCCCAGTCCCGTCCACCCAGCACCCCCCCGACCCTGGCGTCTCCCCCACGATGAACAGTTGGGGTTACGGTAACCCTCCACCTTCCACCTCTGCCCCAACAACCCACCACAGTACACCCTTACCCCCCCCCCACTAGAAGAACCCGTCCTGACACCTTAATCCCCCACCCCCTCCAACAATATAGACTTCACACATTACTCGTCCCCCCCGTATACTGTAGTACAGTGCCCCCACAGACCCCCCCATATCTCACCCTCCTGGTTAGGCGGAAGCACCCACCCCGCACCAATATAGAAAAATGTATTGAAAGTTACAACCTGTAATCACCCATACGTGTCAGTCCTCCACTGTCAGACCCCCCTTTCAGACAAGCACCTCCATCCTCCCCGCGATGGATAGTTTGCTCTAACGGCGTTGGATACCCCTCCAACATGTCCCTCCATCACCACCCTATTCCGACACGCCCATAGTTCACAATCTCATCGCCCACCCCCCCCCATTGAACCCCCCCGCCTGAAAGTATAGTCCCCCCCCCAGGACCACGCTCCCCAGTCCACGTCAACTTCACACCCCTCCCCCAAAAGAAACACCGCCCCCCCCCACCGGTCCCCCCCCTATCCCCCGTCCCCACAGACCCTGCACGTCCTCCATTACATACCCACCCCAAAGCACACCCCTCGCCCTCCCGCAGGACCACCCTTCACCAGACATTGACAACATCCTAGTCCCGACCCCACCCGGCCCGTCCACACCCCCCCCCCCCTTTCTTGCATCAATCTAATTTACCCATAGAAAAGCTCGCAACCGCACCTCAGCCTGATCCCCGCCCCCCCAATCCCCCCCTCCATAACTCCGCCCTCACCTACCCACCCCCCCCTGAGGTGGAGAGACCCACCCACCCCATGGTGCCTGCGCACTACCCCCACCACGCCCCACCCGACGTCCCCCTCCCCATATTTAACATAGCGCGTCATTCGCTCACACCCCCCCCCTCCAATGCGCCGCCAGTACTCAAAACATTACCGTAACAGATACCCCCTATCCCCACCCGCCCCCACCCATCCCAGGGCCCCGCTCCTTGGAGCTTCCAATCCAAAAAAATCTGACTACCCCGACTGGATAGGGTACCCGAGAGATAGCTCTCCCCCATGGAGTGGTCACCCCAGAGTGGAGGAGTCCTTACGAGCCCCCCCCCCCGCTCGGTACCCTCTCATCCCCTCCCCCCGCCACCCCACGCCCCACCCCTCAACCCCCCGTGACCTAACCTTGACAGCCCCAGGTAACCTAGTCTGACCTACTGCTCCGGTGAGTCCCCCCCTCCACGCCAGCACCCTCCCGCCCCTCACCCCCTCCCCCCCCTGATCGCTCCCCCCCTCCCAGCCTCCCACCAGGGAACCACCACCCCCCCCCCGCCCCCCTCCCTCCCCTCCACCCACCGAGCTGCGACTTGGTCGCTATCCCCCCCCACTCACCCCCCCGCCTGAGCTAGTTCTGGGACAGTGGTTTTATACCACCATTAGTACATCAATGTGAGCATCCCCCCTTTCCCCCCCCCCCCCCCCTCACCCCTGGAGATAGGCAGAGGGGGGATCTGCCAATCTCACCCAGCGCTTCCCCAGCTCCCCCTGCGTCTGCATCCACCCCCCCTTCAATCCCCCCCACCCCGCCAATCCCCGACAGGCCAGCGGTGAGAGTACCCCAGCCACCCTCACCTCTCCTACCCCCCACCCAGTCCTTTCATCTACGCCCCCCTCCCTGCTCATCCCCTCCGAAATCCAATGGATTTTTTGCTTAGGGGTCTTTCCCCCTCCCACCGTCCCATTTTGCCCCGCCCCCCCCTCCCCACCCTCTCCTCCTACCCCCCCCATGAGTTTTGTCAGCAACCCCCCCCCCATGGACCTGGCGCTGGAAAGACAGATCCGGAGTCTAGGATGACACCCGAGTAACTCTGGATTGTGGGTGGGACTGATGGTGGTGTTGTTGGTATGATGGAGAAGTCGGGGGGGGCGCAGGCTGGGGGAAAACTAGGAGCTCGTTTTGGAAAGGTTTAATTTGAGGAAGTGGAGTGACATCAGTCTGATATGTCGTTCAGTAGGCTAGTGATTCGGGCGGAGACTGAAGGGGTGAGGCAAGGGGTAGAGAGATAGATTTGCGTGTCGTTGGCAAGGAGATGGTAGTTGAAGCCGTGGGAGTGTATCAGTCAGTTGGCCACCTGGGAGGAGGTGTAGGGTGCAGATGGAGAAGAAGATGAGGGCCTGAGCCTTGAGGGACCCCAACATGAGAGGGGGGAGTGAAGAGGAGGTGGCAGCATTATAGGTAACACTGAAGGAGCACTGGGAATAGATAGGAGGAGAGCCAGAAGAGAGCGGAGTCTCTGAGCTCAAGAGAGTGTAGTTTTTTGAGAGGAGGGGTTGGTTTAACCCGTGTCGAAAGCTGCAGAGAGGTCGAGGAGTAGGAGCACTGAATAGTGGCCATTAGCTTTGGCGTGTTAGCAGGTCGTCCTGGTGAGTTTGAGTAGGGTGGTTTCGGTGGTTGAGTAGGGGGACAGAAGCCAGACTGTAGGGCAGTGGTGGGCAACCTTTTTTTTCAACTGAGCCAAATCTCGCCCAAAACCACAATTGAAATTTATTTTGAGAGCCACATTTTTTTAAAACTGAAAAATACATCCCCATATAGTAATTCATCCCCCATAGTAATTCATCCCCCCCATATAGTAATTCATCCCCCATATAGTAATTCATCCCCCATACAGTAATTCATCCCCCATAGTAATTCATCCCCATATAGTAATTCATCCCCCATGTTGTAATTCATCCCCCATAGTAATTCATCCCCCATTTAGTAATTCATCCCCCATATAGTAATTCATCCCCCATAGTAAATTAATCCCCATATAGTAATTTATCCCCCATAGTAATTAATCCCCCATATAGTAATTCATCCCCCATAGTAATTCATCCCCCATAGTAATTCAACCCCCATAGAGTAATTCATCCCCCATATAGTAATTCATCCCCCATATTAATTCAAGTCCCCCCCTATAGTAATTCATCCCCCATAGTAATTCATCCCCCATATAGTAAATTCATCCCCCATATAGATAATTAATCCCCCATATAGTACTTCATCCCCCCTTAATAATTTCATCCCCCATATAGTAATTCATCCCCATTAGTAATTCATCCCCCCTATAGTAATTCATCCCCCTATAGTAATTAAATCCCCCATATAGTAATTCATCCCCATAGTAATTCATCCCCCATAGTAATTCATCCCCCCATATAGTAATTCATCCCCCCATATAGTAATTCATCCCCATAGTAATTCATTCCCCATATAGTAATTCATCCCCCATATAGTAATTCATCCCCCATATAGTAATTCATCCCCCATTAGTAATTAATCCCCCATATAGTAATTCATCACCCATAGTAATTCATCCCCCATATAGTAATTCATCCCCCATATAGTAATTCATCCCCCATAGTAATTAATCCCCCACTATAGTAATTCATCCCCCATGTCGCTCAGTAATTTCATCCCCCATAGTAATTCATCCCCATAGTAATTCATCCCCCATATAGTAATTCATCCCCCATATAGTAATTCATCCCCCATAGTAATTCATCCCTCGTAATTAATCCCCCCATATAGTAATTCATCACCCATAGTAATTCATCCCCCATATAGTAATTCATCCCCATATAGTAATTCATCCCCCATAGTAATTCATCCCCCCATATAGTAATTCATCCCCAATAGTAATTCATCCCCCATATAGTAATTCATCCCCCCTATAGTAATTCATCCCCCATATAGTAATTCATCCCCCATATAGTATTCATCCTCCATACAGTAATTCATCCCCCTATACAGTAATTCATCCCCTATATAGTAATTCATCCTCCATACAGTAATTCATCCCCCATACAGTAATTCATCCCCCATAGTAATTCATCCCCCATATAGTAATTCATCCCCCCTATAGTAATTCATCCCCCCCTATAGTAATTCATCCCCCATATAGTAATTCATCCCCCATAGTAATTCATCCCCTATAGTAATTCAATTCCCCATATTGTGTCAATTCACTTACCTTGCTCCACGCGTTCCTCTCGCCGTGTTCCCCGCGCCGTTCCGTGGTCTTCAGGGCGGACTGTGAGAGGAGAGGAGTTCGTCACGCTGCCCCCCCCTACATCCTGACAGCCAATGTTTGCCACACTCAAGATTAAAAGGTCCGCCGGGACTTCCGGTTCCGGCGCCGGATGCTGTGACAGCGGGACCCGCGGCTCCCGGGAACCCGCCCTTATAACATCTGCCATCTGCCTCGGGGACCCCCGCATCTTGGCTTTGGGGTGCCTCCTCACA